CTACAGAAAATTACTTTCGGTGATATGAACTTTCTTCCCTTCACGTCCTGGTGACATCAAAGGAAAAACAAGTAAACAATTTATAAATAAATTCATTACTGAAATTAATAGAAATCAAGGAAGAAAGAGCAAAACTTAACCAAGACCATATAATCTAATTGAGGAAAAATGTCATTTTGGAGAGGAGAAAGGGCAGTTTAAAAATTAACATTATAGGTAAAATTTCGCATCAAGAAAATATTTAACTACAGATGCTTCTGGGTGATGTACATACAATTTATACAGTTTTGACCTCATGCAAACTGCTACATATACATATAAGGCCAGCATTCAAATTTGGCAATGTGGAAAACTTTGCATGGAAATGCAAAGTAGAATACCATAAAGCATGCTGGCGACTGCCAAGAACTAAAAGCAGAAAATGTCCTGTGGCCACCAGAAGCTGAAGGCCTCAATTACTGGGCAGGTTCTCCGTCCCTCAATGTTATTTCAGCATGTTCTATGTTACCCCGCTTCTCACTCTCCTTTATTGAGTTCCGATGATGACTTGTAAGGGATCAAGCAATGGCCAGAGTGCAGAATTCATAAGCAGGAGATAACTGAATTAGAGCAAAAATCCAGAGCATCAAAGAAATATGGTTGAATCCTGTCTTTCACTGCACTTGAACTTGATTTGACTACTTCTACAATGAAAAATATTTAGAATGAAGCCACTGGCAAAAAGAAAGAACTGCTGGAAGGTGTTGCCACGTTCAAATCCACAAGGATAAAATGAAGATGGGCTCAGGTTCTATTTTGTAATGGAAACGTCGATTATAAAGTATAAAACAAAAAGAATAAAGCAGAAAAAATGTATGCTGCTTAGATTAATGATTCAGTACAGGCTAGAAAATTGGTTTGAAGACAGAGAGTGTGGTTAGTGTGGTTATAAAAGGGCATCCAGTACTTTTAAAACTCATGAGAATGTTCAGAACAGGAAAGCAAGTGGGGACGTCGCTGGTTCAATAATAAAAGCGGCAGTAATGTGTCTCAAAGAATTGTAAAAATACTACCGAAAAATGTGGTTCTATAACAACCACAGTAACTCTTTACTTTTGATGAAACTGGATTTTTTAAGAAAAAAATTAAAAAGCCAGGGCACTTTTTTCAAAAGAAGAAAGTGTGAGAGTTTAAGGCTACAGAAGGTAAACTGGGCCTTTTGCTTGAGGATAAGAGGGCAGAGGCTTATATGTTGCTTTCTTGCTTATCCATCGGAAAGCCCATGTGTATTTAATACATTTTCAGCTCACGCAAAGCTTCATTGTTCAAAACCATGAGAAAGTTGAATAAGTTAGGGAAGTTACTCTATTAGAATTATGCTGACAAGTTTCAATTTCACTAGAATCTCCTCGAGTCAGTATACTGGTATTTAGAGGAATGGATCAAATCATTCAAGCTCGTGGGGCATGTTTCATATTCCGATATTTCCTACTTAAAAGTCTTGCTAACATTTTATGGAACAAAACCCACATTAAACCTGTTAGAGCACTGCTGACTACTCAGTGGTCCTTAAATAACATCCATGAAAGCTACCTAAACCTGGGCTAGGTGACAAGTTACCTCCAGGACTCAGCTACTGAAGATAAAGTGGAAATGAGTTATTCAGTGATGTGCTGGAACTGGCCAATGGCCTACATCTCTTCCCAACTCTTGAGTTTAGAGATATCACATTGGTAGGTTAAAACCAGCCTTTGGTGGGAATATTTATGCCACTGAAATCAGCGAATCCCACAAATCAGGGCCTTTTTCCTCCTTCTTTTTCTTTCAGAGAGAGTTACTTGTTACACATTTATCACCACGCCACTGGTTATATTCCTAATTTCTCAGGTTAAATGGTGGCCACAAAGGTAAAACACTGTGTTTCAATTCTTGTTCTTATGATCGATGCATTTTGCAGCTCTGTCAAGTGCCTTTGCCTCCTCCATTTATCTCTAACTTCAACAAAAAGAGATATTATTCTTCAATCTTCATAGTACCATTTACCCGCAAGGGTTGTTGGAAAGATTAAATGAGATGGTGTATACAAAGCACCTGCAGTATGATGATGCCTTGCCCGAAAATGCAGGTTCACTCACCCTGGAAGAGCCCCAACTAAACAAACATGTTACATGTTTATTTAGCAATCTATAATTTACAAGTTCACCCATCATCCAAAGGGACCGTAGGAAAGGAGACAAGTCAAAATGCGTTTTCAGTTATCTTTGAACTCAAAGGGTTTTGTTTCCCAGCTCCTCTCCCTGGCCCAGCATTTATCTGTGGGAGGGGATGCAGGCATGATGGAATTAGTTCAGCAAATCTTTGAAATAAAGACCTTAAAAATTCTCTATGCCCAAGAGCTTTTCAAACTTCGTTTTGAAAGCAGCAGTCTCTCTCCCTCCCCAAATGCTATCTTGTTAGATGGCGAACATAACTTCTCAAACACTTCCTCGGCCTATAAATTTGGAAACCAAGGCATAGAGATGTCCAGAACTTTATCCAAGGTTCTGGAATCTGGCAAAGCCAAGCCTAGGATTCACGATTCTTTCCATATGTCATATTGCCTCCTCGGAATCAAAACCACAGTCTGTGGTCTCAGGACCAGAGATTGACATTTCTTCCACGTGACAACTTATCACCCATATGTACTGCAGCTGTAGAAATCTAAGATAGGCAGCTGGAAGCACAAATAAATTTAATCTACTTCCACTTGACAAAGGTAAATGGAAGAGTATTAATAATCAGGCTTCCTTTAAGGAAATAAAAATAGCATTCTCTGGCTGCCAATAGAGTTACAAAACACCCATAAAGGAAACATATAAGTTTCTGGAACAAAGATAAAGGAAGCCAAAAAACTATCTTCCAGATTATTCTAGAGGTAAGGGGTAAGTAGCCCTCTTGCTGCCAGGTTAATGAAGGATCTGCTGGAAGAGATTGCTCCTTGTCCAGCCATAGTCACTTCTCTTTTCTTTCTTAATTACAGAACCCTGATTTTATTTAGAATGTTCCAGCTAAAAGACTAAATTTCCCAGCCTCCCCTGCAGGTAGTTATGACCCTACAATTAAGTTCCAGGCAATGAGATTTAAGTAGTCATTGAGTAGGGCTTCTGGGAAAGCCCTTGAAAGGGGCATAGCCTTTTGCCGGTTTTCCTTTCTGTTCTCCTTTCCACAACCTGGAACTTAAATGTGATGACTATATTTCCAGCAGCTATCTTGTCATTTCAAGAATGAAAGCTTTGCACTGAAAATGACAGAGCAGAAAGAGAGAAAGTGTCTTGGTCTCTGATAACTTCATGAAGAAGCCATCAAAACAGCCCTAAAACTGCCCTACCTCTGGCTTTTTTTATGTGAGAGAATAAACCCTTATAAGATAAATTTATAGTAGTTAGGTCTCTTTTACTAGCAGCCAAACACAATCTCTAATCAATATAGACTTTGGCCTCATTGGCAGAAGCTAAAGAAGCCATGCAGAGATACTTAAGGAATGTAGTGACTCTGGGAAAGGGAGAAATTCATCACATGCCCTCCCCCAACTCCTTGCCAGATTTTCAAGAATAATTCCAGGATTGGGTAGTTGAGGGCAAGTACCCACAAGTTCAAGTCAGATGACTAGTAGCTGAACTTATCAAAGTCAGGCAGAAAGAACAAGCCTGTGAAAGCAGAGGGTGTCAGGTTGACCAAGTTCACAATCCTGCATCTCTTCTTCCACTGGAGCTAAGCAGCAGAGGGGCCCCTTTTTGTACCTCTTCAAGGTTGCAGAATTCCTGACGAAGGGCTAGCTTCAGATCAGCACATTCTCTCCCGTATCTCAATGCTACCAGACACTCCTTGGTCAAATGTGGGACCTAATTAGAGGACACAGGTTTCTTAGTGGAGAAGTCTGAGGGGACCTCATGCACCCGCTCTGCCTAAAAATGCAGCCAAAGCTTTGTCACTTCAGGTTAACAGGCCAACACCCACATCCTGGTTCTCCAGCTCCCTCTAAGGGGGCATCTCTGTAGTTCTAGGAATCCACTTGTCATAGCACCCTAGTAAAACAAGGTGCTTTAAAAGGGGTTCTCCAGTGCTCCTTACTTAATCAGCTACTTCCATGCTGTACAATCTTAGGCAGGCAACTTAACCTCTCTAAGCCTCAGTGGTCTCATCTGAAAATGAATATAGTAATGGTTCTCACCTTAAAGGGTGGTTATAAGGGTTACATGAGTTAACCTTTATAAAGTAGTTAGTGTAGTGCTTGGCACATCGTAAGTTCTCAATATATGTCAGTTATTTTTATTTCATTTCAAAGAGAACTATCTTAAAATTTCTCCATCCTTTTTTCTCCCATTATCAACAGGTGCCCCCTTTCCTTTTCTTACATTTCCTGGACAGTTAGCACTCTTGCTCTGCATGAAAAGCAATCCCTTTCCATTCATTACCTTCTTTACACCCCAATTATTTTTTACCCGAAACCTCAGAAATAGTCCCTTTATTAAAGCATCACCAGTTTTCAGCTCTTTCAATAATCCTATCTCAAGTCACACAGTCATAACTATGCTAGTTCAAATGCAAAACTTCTGGTGACTGCTAGTTCAAATGCAAAGCGCCTATCAGTGAAGCCTCTAAACTTTAGATAAATTTATAGTAGTTAGGTCTCTTTTACTAGCAGCCAAACACAATCTCTAATCAATATAGACTTTGGCCTCATTGGCAGAAGCTAAAGAAGCCATGCAGAGATACTTAAGGAATGTAGTGACTCTGGGAAAGGGAGAAATTCATCACATGCCCTCCCCCAACTCCTTGCCAGATTTTCAAGAATAATTCCAGGATTGGGTAGTTGAGGGCAAGTACCCACAAGTTCAAGTCAGATGACTAGTAGCTGAACTTATCAAAGTCAGGCAGAAAGAACAAGCCTGTGAAAGCAGAGGGTGTCAGGTTGACCAAGTTCACAATCCTGCATCTCTTCTTCCACTGGAGCTAAGCAGCAGAGGGGCCCCTTTTTGTACCTCTTCAAGGTTGCAGAATTCCTGACGAAGGGCTAGCTTCAGATCAGCACATTCTCTCCCGTATCTCAATGCTACCAGACACTCCTTGGTCAAATGTGGGACCTAATTAGAGGACACAGGTTTCTTAGTGGAGAAGTCTGAGGGGACCTCATGCACCCGCTCTGCCTAAAAATGCAGCCAAAGCTTTGTCACTTCAGGTTAACAGGCCAACACCCACATCCTGGTTCTCCAGCTCCCTCTAAGGGGGCATCTCTGTAGTTCTAGGAATCCACTTGTCATAGCACCCTAGTAAAACAAGGTGCTTTAAAAGGGGTTCTCCAGTGCTCCTTACTTAATCAGCTACTTCCATGCTGTACAATCTTAGGCAGGCAACTTAACCTCTCTAAGCCTCAGTGGTCTCATCTGAAAATGAATATAGTAATGGTTCTCACCTTAAAGGGTGGTTATAAGGGTTACATGAGTTAACCTTTATAAAGTAGTTAGTGTAGTGCTTGGCACATCGTAAGTTCTCAATATATGTCAGTTATTTTTATTTCATTTCAAAGAGAACTATCTTAAAATTTCTCCATCCTTTTTTCTCCCATTATCAACAGGTGCCCCCTTTCCTTTTCTTACATTTCCTGGACAGTTAGCACTCTTGCTCTGCATGAAAAGCAATCCCTTTCCATTCATTACCTTCTTTACACCCCAATTATTTTTTACCCGAAACCTCAGAAATAGTCCCTTTATTAAAGCATCACCAGTTTTCAGCTCTTTCAATAATCCTATCTCAAGTCACACAGTCATAACTATGCTAGTTCAAATGCAAAACTTCTGGTGACTGCTAGTTCAAATGCAAAGCACCTATCAGTGAAGCCTCTAAACTTTAATATCAGAGGTGACAGCCCTACTATAATTCCATATCAGTGATTCTCCTAAGGCACATGGTAATAAAACAATTTCCCCAAGGATTTGGCTTTTAAAATAGATTGGAGTTTGGGGTAGAATTACAAAGTAAAATAAGAGTATAAGTGGCTTTTTTAAAAATTGGATATACCTTATAGAATAGCTCCAATAACATCTTTTGTCGAGCCCGCTCATAAGGGTCAAATGGATACAGCTTCCTTCCAGGATAAGCATCATCCAGGTACTCACAAGCGATGACAGATTCATAGATCAGTTGACATCTGCTGTTTTCCAAGACAGGAATTTGGCCAAAAGGGTGCTTTGAATAGTACCATTCAGGCTTGTTTCTCAGATTAATGTTGATAACTTCATGTCTTAAAAAGCAACAGGAAAACAAGACAGAACAAAAACAAGGGTCTTATGCAGGGAGACACTCATCTGGAAAGTAGAAGTAATCAATTTATAAAATTTAAATCTGCAATAAGTTTTTTAAAGGTTAGGTCTTTTACGAAGAAAAATATATAATATCATTGTCTTCATCCCCACAGTAAAATCTGTTAAATGTTTCCCTTGCCTTATCTCATTGGCATATTGTGAGCCTGGTTCCAGGAGACTGAATCTCCTACCCAAAATCCCCATGAGAAAGGAGTAAAGCCAAGACCAGAACCAGGAAATCTGACTCAGAGCTCATATGCTTAACCACTACCCTACAGTTTCACACATGTTAAAGCTTAAAAATAGAAATCTGCTATTAACAGGTCACAACAGAATATGGTAAATGTTAGCAGTTATGAGCACGAATTCTGGCATCAGACTGCATGAGGTCTGGACAGTCTAGCTTGTGACTGTCTGAATTCCTTAACTTTTCTGTGTTCCTTAATTGTAAAATAGGAAGTAATAAATGCACTTATTTGTGAATATCAAATAAGTGAATATGTCTAAAGTGCTTAGTACAGTAACTGGTACATAAGCAAGCAGTAAGTTTTGTATTCTTCTGCTTATGAATTATTATTAGAGGGTCAAGCCTATAAAGTTACCAGAGGCACTCACATGTCTAAAAAAATTAAACAAATGAGAATATTCTTTGCTCAGTCAAGGAGATTGTCTTAAACCCTAAAGTAATGGTTCTCAACTGGGAGTGATCTTGCCTCAGGGACATATGGCAATGTCTGGAGACATTTTTTGGTTGTCACAACTGAGGAAAGGGGATTCGACAGCCAACTAATGAGTAGAGGGCCAGCAGGGATGCTGCTAAACATCCAGCAATGCACGGGGCAGCCCCACCCCCACCTCTTCTCACACCCCCTCCCCCCAAAATGCCCCCCCACACACAAAATAATTATCTGGTCCAAAATGTTGATAGTTCCAAGGTTGAGAAACCCTGCCCTAAAGAAATATTTACATTAGTCCATAAGTTGCCAATTTGTCATTATGGGTAAAAAAAAAAAAAAAAAAAAATTAGGCTATTGTTATTTTAAATAGGTAAATTTAGGGCCAAATAGAATTGAGCAAGAAGGAAGAATCTGGAAGTATATGCCATATACTCCACTCAACAAAACAGAATTGCAAAATTTTATTTAAAATGTCTCTATATTAGTCTCTGTATTTCTCTGACATGAATCTGAAACTCTGAAGTCATCTCTTAACGATGGACTCTCCAAGATAAGAGCCAAAAGCCTGGAGTGACACATTCTCAACACTTTAGCTTAAAAGCCACTTGCATAGTCCCCATTCCAGCAAAGGTGCTCTGCCTTCCCCATCCAGACATGCGGAACTTAGTTTTGCAAAATTCCTCCTGGAAAGATATGTACCCAATTCCTCAGGTAAGTCTGAACATTCAAGACACCTCTTGAGAGCAGTTCCTCATATTTCATTGTTTGGAACTACTTCATTCATTCAAAAAATATTTGTAAGCACCTACTACGCACCAGTCTCTCTTCTAGCCCATGAATAAGAGAAGACATTCCCTACCCTCAAGAACTTACATTTGTGGGGGTAGAGGAAAGAGGGGTAAATAAATAAAATGTTGGATGCGGTGAACGCAACGAAGATAGAGAACAGGGTTGATCTGAAGGTGTCTGGGGTGGGAGTGGGGGCTACATTCGAAGGCGGCCTCGGTTGCCTCCGCTGTGCTTCTTCCTTCACAAGCATTACTAGGTGGAATCAGCTCACCAGAGCCATCATTCAGTGTACTCTGTTCTGAGTTGTGCTTGAAGTGTCCTACATAGACCGACTCTGCATTTCAGGACCGCTTGCTAAAGAATCCTCCCTAACCATCGACCGACTTTGCGTTGTAAGGAAAGGACAAGGCGCCCCAGATTTTAAATATGCCCCCTGCGCCGGCGTGGCACAGACCTTCCCTTCTCACCTGATGCCTTTGGCCTGGAGGACAAGGCGTGTCCGGTGTGCGTAAGGGCAGAACCTATTGCTGTAGACGCGGATCAGGCCCTCTGGGACCGGCCCTGGGGGGATGCTTCCTGCCGGGGAAAGTGCGTGGAACCGGGTGGG